GAGCCGGACCCTGAGCGTCCCCAGAGACACACCCAGTCACCCCTTGCTGCCGCAGAGAGCCAGGATTCAGCCTGGGGCACGTGCTATTCACAAAAGGAGAAATTAAGTACTTAATTCTCTAAGTAAATTCCACCTTTCTGCCTCCGAGTGGGTCAGTTTATCTTACCATTTTCTTAAATTTCATCCAATAACGTCCGAGGACGCAGAATCCAGAGGCGCACACACAACCGGAACCCAGCCACGCGGGCCACGACGCAGGGACCTAATCCCACACTCGCAGGGATTCTGACTGTGAGCCCCTTTTATCGGTTTCTATCAGGTGGCTGAGGGTACGGAAAGGACACAGAGAGCCGGGAATGGGTCAGGAAGGGTTAAATGCGGCAGCCGCGCCCGCTGGGGTAGGGGACGCACACCCACTCTCCCTACCCGCCAGCCTCCCTGACCTGAGGGGCCGTTTCCTCAGGCCCCCACCCCGGCTTGCTGCCTTTCCTCCTGGCCATGCCAGTCTGGCCGGCACCAGATCCACTCACCGGGGACACCGGCCTGGAACCTGGAGAACCTGGGTTTGCGTCCCGGCTCTGTCCCCAGTGATCGGGCTTTCAGGAAGCCCCACCCATGAGCCTGTAAGAAAGAAGTGACGCCTGCCACCTGCTTCCCGGTTGCGCAGGGACAACGAGCTAACATGGGGAAAGTCGCCAACAAGGGCCGTCATTCCCACTGTGCTGTAGCGTCACCACGAGGAACCCCAGCAGCAAGCCTGTGGGGTGCAGCGGGGGGACAGCATGGGCGCCGGGCAGCCGCTCTCTCATTCTGCTCCCCGAGATCTGCCCAGTGGAAGGAGGCACAGAAAATCAGGTGACGGCTGCTTCCCCCCAGGCTGGGAGGACGGGGCAGCTGGGCCCCCAAGCTTCCTGGCCCCAGAGCACCCGGAGGATGGGGCACGGACCCCGAGGACCCCTAGGGTGTTCTCCACCCCGGCGGCTCTGAGCCGGCGGTCCTGGCGGTCCCAGGGCCTGATGGGCCAGCCGCTGCCGTCCATGTGGATGGTCCCCGCTGCCAGGGACACAGCCCGTGTCCTCTGCTCCGTCCCTGCTGTGTGTGGTCGGCTAGAATTTCGCTTGCTTGTGACTTCAGTGTTTTGAGCTTGGTGAAGTGTTTGCGCCGGGGAGGCTGCGTGAGGACGCCGCCACTGACGCCTGCGGTTGACTCGCACTCGGCCACGCAGCGTGGTCAGGGCTGTGTGGACCGGACAGGGAAGAACGGCCACGTCAACCCTTCACAGGGAGAGTTCCTGGGGCCGCAGTGAGACCCTGGGTCGGGCAGGGCCTGGCTGTGCCGCCCCAAGCAGCTCTGGGCAGGACGGGGCGACCGCCCACCGCCGTGAAGCCTCCTCCCACGACCCCACAGCGAGCTCTGCCGCCTCCTGAGAGGAAAGAGCGCCCTGGGAGTCGGACACCATGGGCCCCGTGCCTTGCCTGGAACGGCAGTGACTAGTCTGCTGGTGGGTCGGCTGTGCCGTTTCCTTACTGGTTCATCAGGAACATTCTCTCTGCTACTGCTTTGTGAAGTGTTACTGTGAGTTGTAATTCCCACAGCGAACCTGTGTTCAGTTATCGGCAAAGACGGTGTCGGGCTCTGAGAATAGTTTCCCTCAAACAAAACAATCCTCCTACCAGCGGGACCTGGGGTGGCTTTCAGGTCCATGGGGCGCCAGACACAGATGTCTCCCTATGCCCCCTCTTTGCTTCCAGAAAACACCCCCTAAAACCCGGGTCCCTGAACCTGCCCTCCACACCCCCTCCCTTCCCTCATGTGTGGTCGGAAGGACAGGGCTCCTCCCGTGACTCTTCTACGCCCCCTAAGCTGGAACCTTCCATGGGGCCCAAGGTGGGCCCTGTGGTCACAGCTGCCCAGGCGCCCCATCGTGGCCATCTCCCAGGCAGCCTGCGGACCGCCCACACCATCAGAGAGGCGAAAGGAAGAGCCAGTGAGGCCAGCAAGTGCTGGCAGGGTCCCAGGGAAGCAGGAGCCCACAGAGTGCCCGTGGAACAGAGGTGACCCGGCCACTCTCCTGGAACTCTGTCCAGGAATAACGACAAGTTATGTGATCCGGCACAAAACCCTGTCTACGAACAGTCCGCACAGCTCCAAGGTGGGAGAGTCCCAGACTGCCTTCAGCAGCATGTGGTCATGTCCCCTGTGCCCCCACAGCCCAGACACTGCTTTGAGATGGAAAGCAGCAGACCACTGGCCCCATGGGAAGGACACAGAGCACAGCACCCGTCTCTATTTGTCACATATGCTGTGTTTCCGTTTCTAGCCTCAAAAGGACAGTTTCCCTGCTGAGGAGGCTGGTGGTCAGAGGCCAGGGGACAGGGCAGGGGGAGGGCAGCACGGGGACCCTGGAGCCCGTAGTACCATTCCACATGGTGAGAGCCGTGCTGGTCACACAAATCCACATGGGCAGTGAGAGGACACCCAGCTCCGCACACACACCGGACCAGGCTCAGTACCAGACTGGCTTTGGCCAAGGGTTCCCGTGCTCCGGGAGGTCACCTGCTGGGGACACCAGGAGAGGCACTCAGAGGCAGAACAAAGCAACCGTTGTATTCTCTGTCATGCTGAGCATCAAGGGAAGGAGGCCACGTCCTAGCCCAGATCCCGGGGACGCGGCCTTGGCTGGCACGATGGACTTCGTGGCTGGGATTGGGGGAGAGTCAGAGTCAGAGAGATGCAGACAGAGGCAGATGCTGGCGTCACAGCAGCTTGGACGGTGCCCCATGGTGGGCCCTTCCCAGAAGCAGGGGCCCTGGGGGCTCGGATCGTGTGGGCCCTCTGTCGGCAAGGCCACGATGACGATGTCATTTCTTTCTCATGCTCCCTTTGTGGGCAGCTTCCACCCGGACAGAAGCCTGTGTGCAGCAGACCGCCCTGTGTTCACTTGGGCAGCGGCCTAGCTGGGGACACCCATTTGGAGCTGAGGCGTGTGTTCGCCTGGGAGGGTGCCTGGCCAGCAGGCCCAGCCCTGGACATGCCATCCCCTCACAAGCTCCTCCCCACACTGCCATCCAGGGCCAGCTCTCCCCCAGGGCAGCCTGCCTATGCCAGCCTGCAACCCAGTGACCGCAGGCAGCGAGCCCTGCCCGGGCACCGACGACGGCTTCCCCAGGCTCAGGTCACTCGGGCAGGGCTGGGGCTTCCTGAGATCTGCTCTTGTCATTTCCATGGTTCCTCGTGGACCGGGGAGAAGTGGTCTGTCGACATCCATCCGGCCCCCTGAACTGCCTGGGTGGCCCCCCACGCCCAGTGCACGTGCCGTTAGACGTCTCTTGGGCCAGTCTGTCCAGCCCACATGGAGGCCCACACACAGGGCGGTGGGGGGACTCCTCCCGCTGCACTGAACCAGCAGCACCGCGGCATTCTTTGGCTCCCGGTGCCCAACGCACTCGGTTTAGAAACTTCCGGGTGTCAAGTGGGAAGCCCACCCGTGGCCTCCCAGAAGTCTCAGAATGAAGCTGCTGTCGTATTCTTTCTGAAGCCACAGCATCAGCACTTTCCTTGGAACAAACTCTCACGTTTACGACGCAATTTCAGACCAGCACTCGCTTTCCGGGACGGGCTAACGCACCCACGACCCGGAGATGCAGGGTCTCCATGCGGGCTGGGAGACCCTTCCTCACCATCAACCCCACGTGTCCTTTTCTGCCTCGGTTTTTCTACTCTGCTTTTTCTAAAAACATCTGTCTTCTGAGCAGGCTTCTCCGGGGAAGCAGAGGAACTTTGTTGGAAAAGAACAGCTTGCCCCCAGCAGCGGCAAACGCACCAGTGGCAAAGTGAGAAGTCAGCGGGTCTCCGACACGGCCCTGGAGGCCGCGGACACTGTGGAACCCTCCGTGGACTCTGTGGAACCCTCCAGGGCGGGACACGGTCAGAGCCCTCCTCCACCCGCACAGCGCGGCCAGTGGGGAGGCCTGTTTAAATGCAAGGCTGTGAATAAAAGTAATTTCCTGAAAACGTTTCTTACATTGTTCAAGGTCCACACGCGCCCAGCTATGCAGTTTGCTGAGCTTGCTCTGTCACCCTGGGAGCCCCCCGAGACCCACCAGTTTGCCTAATGCTCAGCGATTGGAGCCTGAACGTGCCGTGGAAGCCGCGTTGGTGTTGTCTCATTAGGGAGGCCATTCGGAACTCTCGTTCCAGCCTTACGACCAGCGCCGTCAGCACTGGGTCTGGGCTGGGCTGGTAGGGGCTCCCAGGCCAAGGCAGGTCCCTCCACCTGCCCAGCCCTGCCCTCCGCGGGCCACTCCGAGTGAGCCCGGAGCTGGAGCGGGTGTGAGGGGCCTGCTCACGGCGCCACACGGGCCCTGGGGCTCCGGTTTCTCCCCGTCTTTCATGGACCCCGGTTGGTAGGAAACGGATTTGGGTTCTGTTTCTGGTGCAGACAACAGAAGCCTCAGGACCTGAAAGTGGAAAGTACAACCCAGGGTCTAGGAGACCCAGTTGACCAGAAAGAACCAGGACCCTCCGTTGCCCCCAGGCCCACGTGGGCGGAGCGCCAGCGACCCTTCTCGGGCATCGTCGCCTATTCGCTACCCCGCTCCTTCCACCCGCACTCCCCCGCAGCCCTCGGCGCCTGGGGCACGGCCCGTGGGATAAAGTGACAAACCAGGGGCCCCTCTCCCAGGCGGCGCAGGGCGCACCAGGTGCCCCACGTTGGGGCTCCCCCTCGGGTACCCCAGAGCCGCAGTCGCCTCCACCCCTCCCCGCCGTGCGACCTCCCCTGCAACGGCGGCTCCCTGCACGGGATCGCGGGGCGTGAGTGGAGAGGATGCGGTCCAGCCGCCAAAGCCCGCAGGGGCCTCGCCACACCTGGGCGCCAACACCCTAGAAAGCCGCGACCCCGCCCAGGCCCCGCCCCTTCCTCCCCGAAGCCCCGCCTCCTCGTGCGGACCCCCTCTCGGGCCCGCCCCTTCCTCCCGCGGACCCGCCCCTCTCCGGCCATGCCGCGCGCGCCCCGGTGCCGCGCCGTGCGCGCTCTGCTGCGGAGCCGTTACCGGGAGGTGCTGCCCCTGGCCTCCTTCCTGCGGCGCCTGGGGCCCCAGGGCCGGAGGCTGGTGCGGCGCGGGGACCCGGCGGCCTTCCGCGCGCTGGTGGCCCAGTGCCTGGTGTGCGTGCCCTGGGACGCGCGGCCACCCCCCGTCGCCCCGTCCTTCCGCCAGGTGGGCTGCCCCGGGAACCCGGCTCGGGCCTGCCGGGGTGGGAGGGGGAGGGCCGCGCGCTCGGGCCCCCGGGCGCCTCGGTCCCCAGCCCTTCAGGATCCCACCCCCACCCCCCGCAGGTGTCCTGCCTGAAGGAGCTGGTGGCCCGGGTGGTGCAGAGGCTGTGCGAGCGCGGCGCCAGGAACGTGCTGGCTTTCGGCTTCGCCCTGCTAGACGGGGCCCGCGGCGGGCCGCCCCTGGCCTTCACCACCAGCGTGCGCAGCTACCTGCCCAACACCGTGACGGAAACTCTGCGCGGCAGCGGCGCGTGGGGGCTGCTGCTGCGCCGCGTGGGCGACGATGTGCTCGCCCACCTGCTCACGTGCTGCGCGCTCTACGTGCTGGTGGCCCCGAGCTGCGCCTACCAGGTGTGTGGGCCTCCGCTCTACGACCTCTGCGTCCCCGCCGCCGTGTCTCGGCCCCTCGGGTCCCCCGGCCACAGTCCTGGGACCTGGAAGGACCTCAGACCCACGCGCCAGGCCTGGAAGTCTGGCGCAAGGCGGCGGCGGCGGCGGGGCAAATCCGGGAGCAGTCCGCCTCTAGCCAAGAGGCCCAGGCGCGGCGTGACCCCGGAGCCCGAGCAGGGGACCCAGAGGCCGTCTGCCCAGGCCCACCTGGGCAGGGCGCATGGGCCGGGTGACAACAAACCTCACGCAGTGACACCTGCCAGGGTCGCTGCAGAAGCTGCCTCTTGGGAGGGAGGGCCCCTTGGGACTCGTCTCAGCTCCGCTGCGGCACAGCCATCTCAGGGACCCCAGGGAGTACCCCATCAGCCAGCGCACCCCGAAACCAAGCACTTCCTCTACTGCTCAGGAGGCAGGGAGCGGCTGCGCCCCTCCTTCCTGCTCAGCGCCCTGCCGCCTAGCCTGACCGGGGCCCGGAAACTCGTGGAGACCGTCTTTCTGGGCTCCACGGCCCGGAGGGCAGGGGCTGCCCACAGGACGCGCCGCCTTCCCGCACGCTACTGGCGGATGCGGCCTCTGTTCCAGGAGCTGCTTGGGAACCATGCGCGGTGCCCTTACCGCGCGCTCCTCAGGACGCACTGCCCGCTTCGGGCGGAGGCCCCGGGAGCGGCGTCCAGCAAGCAGGCCCGTGGAGGAGTGGGCGTCTGCCCTTTGGAGAGGCCCGTGGCAGCCCCGGAGGAGAACGCGGACCCCCGGCGCCTGGTCCGGCTTCTCCGGCAGCACAGCAGCCCCTGGCAGGTGTACGCTTTCCTGCGGGCCTGCCTGGGCCGGCTGGTGCCCCCAGCGCTCTGGGGCTCCAGGCACAACCAGCGCCGCTTCTTGAGGAACGTGAAGAAGTTCATCTCTCTGGGCAAGCACGCCAAGCTCTCGCCCCAGGAGCTGACGTGGAAGATGAAAGTGCAGGACTGTGCCTGGCTGCGGGGGAGCCCAGGTGAGCAGCAGAGGCCGCAGGTGCCTGGCTGGACCCACAGGACCAGCCCCTCCCTCCACCTCTGACCCCTCCTGCCTGCTTTACACGGACTGAGGCGGGCCCTGGGGACACGCGGGCCCTGGGGACACGCGCAGGGAGCAGATGTGGGGATGCAGGTCCAGCCGCCGGCCACGGTCCCTGGTGGGGAGTGGCAACAAGGAGAGACCCTGGGGTTTTGCCATGTGATCTACCCCCCAAGCTTGCAAGACATCTGAGATTCCTAGATGAGAAGGTTGGCGAGCCCTCTCAGAACCGGGGTCACCACCTGGGGTATCCAGCTCAGTCTCCCACGGTAGGGCTTAAAGTGCACCCGCCTCATCTCCAAAGATCGTGATTGTGATGGTCTCCAAGGGTACACCCTTTCTGGTTCCCCAAGAGGCTCTGAGCAACTTTCCAATAACTTGGGCTTGTAAGTTTTGTGTTTTAATTGTGGGAAAACAGCACGCCGCCTGAGATGCACCCTCCTAACGAATGGTTTAATCTACAGGACACGTTGCAAAGCGTAAGGGCCGTGTTGCACAGCACATTTCTAGGACTTTCGCACTGGTCATTCCTGTGTGCCCATAACCAGCCACTCCCTTCCCGGTGCGGCGTGGTTGACCCTCCAAGGTGCCCGGCACAGCACCGGTGCTCTCAGGCTGCCGCTCACTTGGTGGAAGCGTTGAGTTCCGTGGCCCCGTCCCCAGCTTCATACGAGGTCTTCCATGCCCTGCGCACCGCACACAGGAAGGACCTGGTGCTTTCCCAGGTGACGGGCCCAGCCCCTGGACCTCCCTGTGTCCTTGCACACTCGAGCCGTGGCCCTGGCGGCCTGTTCCTTTCTGCGGCTGTGGCCACGCACATTGCGCACAAGGCTGAATAAATGAGATCAAGGCTCTCTAAGCATGGCCCTCGGGTCACCTTTTCCACCCTCCCCCGCTGGAACACCCCTCCCCCGTGCAGACCGTCATCTGGGCAGGGCTCGGTCTCTGTCAAGCCAACCTCGATCAGCGTTCTGCTTGCCGCTCTGCCCTCTTATTCCTGTCCCCAACCCCGGAGGCCAGACTGCTGGGCTGTCCCCATCTGCTGCCCAGTGTCACTAGACATTACAGAATGGATTCCTGATGGAACCTGGGGAGGTGCCCCCCGCCCCCACAGCCTGTCCCCCTCTGGCCCATATTGGGCTGGTGGCAGCCCTTGTTCCCTGACCCCAGGCACAGGTGGTCTTGTGTGGGCTGTGCTCTGTCATCCCGTCCCGTGGACTTACGCGCGCCCCACGATGATCTGAACGGTGGCCTTGACCTTCGGAGTGGAGTCTGGTGTCTCTGTAGGGTCCTCACTGGGGCTTTCTGGGCCACGGTTGGGTTTTAGAGCCGTGTCCCTGCCCCCCCCCCCCCGCCCTGCCATCAGGGTCGCCGGCGTGCCTCTCTGAGCGCCCGGCCAGTGATCGGCCGTCCTCCCTTCCTGGCTGTGTCTTAGCTGTGCCCCAGCTTCTGTTTGCTGCCCGTGTCCAGTTTCAGTCGCTTCTGAGAAGTTTCCGTTTCTTGTTCGATGTCGTCTTTGGTCAGTGAGCTGCTGAGCTCTGTGTGATCTTTTCTGTTGACTTGTGACTTGGCTGTGTGGCGGCCTGTCTGCGGGATCTGGGCTGCTCGAGGTGGGCAGACGTGCATGTCCCTCGTGTGTCTGTTGCATTCACGCCACCCGAGACCCCCGCCCCTGTGCCGAGGGCGAGATGCTAGGGGCAGTGCTGTCTTCATCTGGGGCGGGTTTGTCCGTTTCTCCCTGTTCCGATGGTATCTGTCAGGTTGTACCAGGTGTGAGCATTCCAGAAGGTTCACGTCCCTGGGGCTGTCAGTGCCCATTACGTTAACATCTGTCCTGATGCCCCCGAGCGGCGCGCCAGCTCTCTCCTGGCGGGTGTCGGCGTCCAGCCTTCGCGGAGCCTCACGGTTTGGGCCCTGCTGGTCAGCAGCTGCTGTTTTGGCTTTCGTCCAGTCTGGCGATCTTTGCCACTAACCTGGAGAATCTGACTTCTTTCTTCTGACTCTAGATGTGCCCGATGCCCCCTCATCTTTCTTCCCAGTTTGTCTGCTTTTCCTGTGCCCTTCGTCCCTGTTTGCAGGGAACCATGTGCCTCTCCCACTCCACCCTCCTTCCTGGTTTGCCCCGGTGGCAGCTGGGAGCTGCGAGCTCTGCTGTCCTCTCGGGGTTCCTCGTCCTGAGCAGCACGAGGGCCTGATGTGATCTCCCACTTAGTTATGCCCCCGGTTAGAGGTCGTGCTATGTTCTGGTCAGTGGTCATTGAACTCTGTCCCTGCCCCCTCTCACTGTTCTGTCCTCTCCCCCAGACCAGATTCTGGGTGCCCTTCTTACCAAGTGCACAGAATAGAATACAGAGGACAGTTTGGGTCCATGGTGCGTGTCCCCGGCCCCATGGAGTGACTTCCCATTCCCGTGGTGTATGTCTACGGTCCTGTGTAAGTTCTCGCAGCTCTCTGGTGCCTGTTCCCAGCTGCACAGCATTTGGCGGCCCTTACCCCTGTGTGGTTTGGCCTGGGAAGCCCCGGGTACATCTGGACCCTGCTGCCCAGCGGTGATGCTGCTGAATGGCCAGGTCCCCCCAGGGAGAGTGTGTCTCTGCTTCTCCATCCTGCTCGTAAGCCAGGATAGATGACGAAGCCCCTCTCTGTCTAGTAGAAGTGTGACGTGACTGCCTGCATCATTGAAACTCCAGTAGCCACTTTATAAAGTAGCAAAGGAAACATGAAACCAGTAATGTCTTATTCCGCCACACAGCCAAGGTGTTCTTCCGTCCCGCAGTCAGCAGACACGTGGTAATGGCGTGTGTCCCCCCTCGGGCCGAGGATCGTGTTCCCTGAGCCTCAGTCCCCGCCTGCCCATTTCGAGCAGCCAGTGTGGCTGCGATGGGCAGAGTGGACACTGCAGTCTGTGCCTTTCCCATTCCAGGGGCTCGCAGTGTGCCGGCCGCCGAGCACCGCCGCAGAGAAGGGGTCCTGGCCAGGCTCCTGTGCTGGTTGATGGGCACCTACGTGGTTGAGCTGCTCAGGTCGTTTTTCTACGTCACGGAAACCACGTTTCAGAAGAACCGGCTCTTCTTCTACCGGAAGAGCGTCTGGAGCCCGTTACAGACCCTGGGAGTCAGGTGTCTCTGCCAGTGCCGCGCGCTCACGATTGTCTCTGTGTGTGCACATGACAGCTCCCTGTCCCGCCCCCCCTGTGTGTGCAGGTGACGGCTC